GTTGCGAACTAATTAATTTATTCAGAAGAAGCGCTTAACTAATACAAACAACTTTACCCAAGACAGTATTCTGATTGGATGCTTTGTTCAAAAGTTATTAATTTTTTCCGAGAAAATCACTGATCTGCCCCAGTGTGCATCGGAGGCATGTGATCATCCGCAAAACTTATACGATGGGAGGATGCGAGATACACTTTCCGAGCTTGCTGCAGAATACTTTGGCCACTTATTTGTTCGCTAGCTGACCGTGTCGTTTCGAACGCGTTAATCTGTTGTATGACCTTCTCCATAGACAATTCTGCTTCTAGCAAAAGCTTCTCTCTTAGATGAGTAGGTACGAATTGGACTAGCTTATCGATTACTGCTATTCCTGAACTTTCTAACGATGTGCTTGCTGGCATGCATTTGGGCGTGCATTAAAAACTTCTCCAGGTTTATCATCGGGTTCCGGTTTCATCGCCCAAAATAGATAGCGCTCGTGTGCCTCATGACGCTGTGGGGCAAATTAACCGTCTAACTTCTGAATAGCCACTACGTACGAATCAATGTTCTTCTCCTTGTCTGTGGTCACATTCGCTCCAGGGATATTAAAGAATATTTCTTGCAATTCAAAACCACCCTTTGCCAGCAATAGATCCTTTTTTCATCTGAAAGTGAGACCTTTGAAGCTCGCCAGCAAATTTCAAAATCGCGTTTCCAGCTGTACCATTTAGCTCTATGCTCTGCCAGCGGAACTGTGCCGTAAGTAAACGACGGAAAATTCGAGAAAGCAATGTTTTTAGAGATCCTGTAAAACATTTTTCTCTATACCATCATCATTTAAACGTATCCAAAACATCATTACCTCTTCCACAAAATTATCTCATCTCACATGGATATACAATTGGGTTCTTTAATTTTGGAAAATATATCCGGTTTTATATATCATCTGAAAGAGCTTCGTTTTCTGAGCACAGCGATATTTTTTTTCTAACCCCCACTCTTTCATCTCGATTTTTAAATCAATATTCAAAGCAAAATAATTACTTCACTGTTTGACACTAACTGACAAACTGACAGCTCGCTCACATACAAAGTGACACCGAGGGGCGCGAATAAGGTGATTTTTGCAAATGTAATCGTACTTATTTAAAATAGTTCGATTGTACCAAAATTTATGAAATTTTGGGTTTGGGTTCCATTTTTAATGCAGATTACGAATATGCATTTACCTCAATACCATTAAAGAATTCAATTCGACATCTATTGTAGTACCACACGGCGAATGAGAATGACTCAAATTTGAGTTTAGTTCACTCATAATCGCCAAAAGTGCAGGAACTCAGCGATGAGTAAAATTTGTCCCATGGTTTCCTGTGGAAAACCTAAAAAATCTGCCGGAAAATGAGGAAATTGACGAAAATTTTATTCAGTCTCGGAGTAGTACCAATAGAGTGAATCCAATCTTTACTTTTCTCAAATTTGGGAATTTTTTCCTGGAAAATCTTGGAAAAACCTGGGAAAACATGAGGCAAATTAACTCATCGCTGAGTTCCTGCACTTTTGGCGATTATGAGTGAACTAAACTCAAATTTGAGTCGTTCTCATTCGCCGTGCAGAATAAGGAAACTAATCGCTCTCTTGTCACGGAAGCTCTTCTTGATCCACGTCATAGATCCAATCAACGCGAACCAACCGCTATATCACCGACAAACCGACATGAATGATCATACAAAGTATCATCAAATTTCTGATCAAAGCACAAAACTGACATCTGCCGTCGTGTTCGCGAAAAATGTGTATCCTAGCCACGAACACACATACTAAATGTATGAGTTGGTTCGTGTCTAATCTATTCCGGGCAAATTATTTTTATCTAGATAGCAAATTTCTATGGTTTTGACAGATGGGATCGCTGCACATTTGAATCCGCCGTTATAGATTCTCGATCAAGAGTTAAGTTTTAGTTTCATGTCGGTTTGTCGGTGGCTATATTGTCGCGGCAGCTCTTCTTGCTCCAAATCGCAAATCCCTGCTTCGAGTCGCCAATCTTGGGCTTACGCACACCCTTCTGTCACGGAAACAATTCTTTTATTCCAACCGTTTCTTCTTCTTTCGATACTTTGTCAGCGGTGCTGCAAAGATCCACTGATTTATGATACTTTGAAAACCATCCACGTCAAAATAACACTTACCTTACCCCAGTTTTTTTTTTCTTCAAAAACTCAAGTAAAATATTGTTACCACCGAAATAACTAAATAAATCCCTTTTCGCCGCCAATTTGTGATAGGGTGATATCGACAGTGAGCATGCATAAGGGCGAATACGCGATGATCGATTCTCTTTGCATTGCTACAGCTAAGCGAAACAATTTTCTAGAATTTGTGCAATGCAGAGTAGTAACAGGTTGTATTGGCTATCAAAAGCAACACCAAACGCACCGAGAAACGTTAAATCTAGCGAGTTATTAACAAAAGAGAAAATCGACGAAGAGAATCGATCATCGCGTATAGGCCCTTATGCATGCTCACTGTCGAATATAAAATAACACCTCTATGATAACACTCTTGTTGCACTTGCTATTCATAGTCAATACATTCAAAGATAAATTAAATCGAAAAAGCTTAAAAAGTATGCAGATTCCCACTTCACCTTATTGAGTCCGAGCCACGATTACTTCGGCAGTAGTCATGCATGATTAAAATCGAAATAATCTTTCCAGTATTAAATTTTATTCTTTTCAATACTGATATATAATCAAAAAAGATTAAAATTAAATCAAGAAAAATTAAAATAGAATCAAAAATTAATAAAATTTATTCAAAAAAGATAATCTACAATCTAATCAACCATGATTAAACTGGGATTAATATCAGATGCTTATTTTTTAGAAAGAGAGGATTAATTTTTAATCATTCGATATGATTAAACTGAGTTTAATGTCAAATTAATTAAATTTGTAGCAAAATGGGAATAGTTCAATTTATCAGTGTATGTTTTCTTTATTCCAGGTGCATTATACTGAAAGAGGTGATGTTAGTATCATATGTTTATGTGTGTTTGACAAACCACAGATAACTCTAGTAAAGACGTCCTACCACAGGTTGCTTTAGCGGTATCCAGAACAGAGAAAACCGATTGGGAATGGGTTTCGATGAGGTCATGCTCACTTATACCAACAGTCAATACGAAACTATCGATTTTAAATTGGCTTACTACTTGACTAGCCTATTGGTCCCAAGCAAACCGATTAACGTACCCCATCCTAGTAGAAATTCTAGTACTACACAATGTTTGTCTTCGATATGAAAGTTTGACAGATAAAATGAGGGGTTAGTGGATTTTCCTATGTTTCGAGGGGAGAATCGATTAGCTTGGGACCGAAGGGAGTACCAGAGCTGAGCCAAAAAGTTGAGCACGTTTCTTCGGGACCTTCTGGTCTTAGAGTTACCTCTATGCTTATACGGTCGGGAGGAAAGTACACCGCACAGAGAAACAAGGTATGAACGCCCAGTTTGAACGACGCCCACACTTGCTCTAAGCATATCCAAGCATTATTTTCTAGTAACCTCGCTTTAAACCTAGAATTTACAGCCACTAAAACAGCTCCACGCCTCAACCTTAAACTTTCCAGCTATTAACAGCATTCTTATCGCAACGGAAAACTTCGTAATCGTCGACGAACACCTGACGAGAGAGTGTGCGTGAATCCAACCATGTCTCCGTGAGAACAATGATGTCGTAGTAAAGATCCGAGGTAGCTACGCAAAACTCTCGGCAAAAATCGTCGAAATCACAGTTGATACCACCGACGTTCTGGTAGTAGACGGATATCTCATGCTGGCAGTTGGCAGGACGGATGCATGGACATGATGTGGCTAGTGCGGAGGCCGCAGAACCGGAAACACAGCTAGAAGTTGAAACGGTATCAGGCAAAGGAGAGGCTGAATCGTCAATATACTTACCAGTAATAGCTGGTTGGAAGACCCCCGACCTAAGCGCGACTGAGGCAGAGAAATCGGGAGCTTCCACAGTACTATCCACTATGCGTCTCAGTGGTGATGGTGGTGGTCCAGAAGCAGTAGAGGTAGCGTCTCGAAAGAACGGTGTGCAGGTTGTAGTGTAGGTTCCGTTGTCGGGCAAAAAATTTCGGAAAACCCCGTTTCTCGACTCAACCGCAGGACCGGGATGTCTGCTGGCGGGAAGGGTTCGAATGTGGAGATTCGAAAATGGGCTTCCTCAAGGCTTGTGAATGACTGATTTTTTACCAAAGCAGCTGCTTCAAAACGTGATTTCATATGATACAGCTCTATTTATGAAAGGAATAATTGAAACAAATTGAAGAATTTAAGTTGAAATATCAGTGGTGCTCATATTAACCCGAATGGACTTAAGTAATATTTTGTTAAGAAAATCTTTAATGTTTATTAAAAACTAGAAAAACATCGTGTCATTTAAAAACCAAAAGACCATTTTCAAAGCTACTGAAGGAACATCAAAGATAAGTTATAAGAAACTACTGATAGACCTTATTTTCTGATTCAGAAGTCTTATAACAGTTTTGACATTTTAAGCTAGCCTAACATTTTTCGAATATTTGCTCTAGAGAAAATTATTTTGTTAGACTTAAATGAACTGGACAGTTGAAGTAGGCTTCAAGCATTAAGCCTGCAACAGATTTTTATAAAATATTTTCAATAATTTAATTTTTAAGCGGGTGGCCCCATTTGCCATATTGCCCCACCTTCCCCTAAAATTTAAACCAAAAGCGCCAGCTCGTGTTACATCCGAATGACCTGAAATTTTCTGAGAGTGGTTTTCCTACCCAGGTAATGGCAAAAATCTGGGGGTTGGCCCGTTGAAAAAAAAATGTCTCCCATATAAATGTGGGCCAGTCTAACCTACAGTAATGGACCATCAGGGAGATGTAAAGCCGACGTTTATGGCTTTTCAGATTACTGCCTTACCACTAGGTATATGGATCTGTGATATTAGGATAAAAAAACAACATCAAACTTTGCCTGCCAGTTTCTATTGCAAACGAATGAATTTTCAAACGACCGTCGTGCTTAAAATGTTGAACACTGTATTGTCTACTTAACAATGTCTGTTACGAGTCCCGCAGCGATAGTAACGCCACTGACGCGCAACATAATTCTTCCCAGCTCTTTAAAGTCTGCGTATCGCTCCATGCAGATCGGTCGTTGAAACTCAATGTCCACCAAAGCACAAGAATTGTTACCCAAACAGCGAGGATTTTTCTTAACCACTTCACCGGTTCCCTTGTGTAACTGTGCCTTCAGTTTACAAATCGTTGCCGGTTCAATCAACGATTGATGATGCAGCAGCACTGGATAACCCATCGTAATCGGTACCTTAACATTAAATACTACGATTCGTGCTCGAATCCTAGTTGCCAATGGAATCGGGTTATAAATGTCGCTGAGTATATAGCCCACCGAGATGTTAGCGATGTCAATGTTCGCCAAAGTAACCGAGACCTGATCACCAGCAAAGCAGGTAGTGTATTGTACCTCGTCGATGGCGATATTTTTAGCCACTGCCTGTTCCTTGCTGGGACACACGAGAACTTTATCATTCACGCAAATCACTCCGGATTCAATTCGACCTGAGATGCAGAAACCAGAGCCTGTCCCCTTGAAAATGTCTGAAACAGACATACGGAAAGGCTTGTCTATTGAGCGTTCCGGCGTTTTGAAGGAATCTGTAATGCGGTAAAATCCAATATCGGTTTTTTTTAATTCAGCTATAATAATTCAATACGAACTTACCAATAACTTTCAGCAAAGTTGGTCCTTTGTACCATTTAAGCAGTTCGCTATCAGTTGGCTCCTTAACTAGATTCTCTCCTGTCAACCCAGAACAGGGCACATAAACTACATCGGAATCCTTAAATCCAGCTTGCTTCAGAAAGACTTTCAGTTTTATTACAATTTCGTCGAACCGTTGCTGGGACCAGGCGACCGTATCCAATTTGTTTACAACGACGCCCAATTGGTTCACTCCTAACGATCGTACCAACAAGGCGTGCTCTCGCGTTTGGCCGCCTTGTTCGAATCCTGTTTCAAACTCTCCCCTTGTAGCATCAACCACGAGCAGTGCAACATCGGCCTGATTTGCTCCCGAGATCATATTCGGTATGAAGTCTTTGTGACCGGGGGCGTCCAGTAGTGTAATCTAAGGGCAGACACTGTCTGTAACTCATTTGATCAATCTTTACTGTAATCATACCTGTTTATTTGCCGTCTCGAAACGTGAACTTCCCACATCCATCGTAATGCCACGTTCCCGTTCTTCACCAGTTTCATCCAGTACCCATGCATATATAAAACTCTGCTTGCCTAGCTTCTTGCTCTCCTGTTCGTTCTTGTGCATCACCCGCTGACTAATATTACCAGTGTCGCACAGCAAGTGGCCCATCAACGTACTCTTGCCGGCATCGACGTGACCGATGACCACCATATGGATGTGCTGCTTACCGCTGCCGCGTTCCTTCTTGAACATTTCTTGTGCATTGCGCTGAAGCTCCTTCGGCAAAGGTTTCGGTGTTTGTGACTGCTTGGCATCGTCACCGATCTCCGGTGTATTGCGGCCGGACACCGAAGGAGACTGGATGCGAGGGCTGTTCACTTCGAAGCCTCTTGTGACATTGGTTTTCTTTGCCGTTGGCGTTATGAGGATAAGTGGTTGAGTTGGTTCTGCGACATGAGCTGGCGTTTTCAGCAGTGACGGTATTTGGACGAGCAGCTTGTCTGATTTCTCCAGCAATCGGTCACCGATGCCTGTGGGGAAGTTGATGTAGCGGAAAATAATGATAATTCAAAGTAGTTTTGATCTGGTTTTGATACTGGAAGCCAAGTGGAATCTTGCGAGACGCAAAGAATCATTTATTAAAATCTAAGGTTATTCATAGACACAACTATTTAACCGTGACTGGGGAGATGTGACATTTTACGGTGGAACTGATATTGTATCGCCCACTAACCGATAGAAAGAAGATAACCCGTGGGAGATATGAGTGGACATTATTACATTCCGAGCGCTATAGTTATAATCATGACATACGACGCATTAATACAAGACAACTTAACGAAATCTGTCGAATGAAATTCATTTCAGACATTAGAGCATTGTAAGAGAGAGAAACGAGAAATCGCTTCAGCAACCAATTAAATTGTCCCAAAAGTGTTACTAATCTAGCAGAAGACCTTTACTGCCGCTATCGCATAACGTCCATGTGCTGTCTAACCTAGATTGGGAGCATATTCTAGATCCTGTAGACGTCAACATTGCTGCACAAACCTTTTCTCACGTCTTGGCATATGTCACTAACAGACACGTTTCCAAAAAGATCATCCATATCGAATCTCGCGTCCCGTGGATGACGAAAGATCTTCGCTCGTTGAAAAGAACTAAGAATGCTGCTCTCAGAAGATTTACTAAACTCCGCACACTGCCACTGAAATGCTACTATGTCAGACTCAACCACGAGTATAAGCGGTTAAGTCGTCTCTGTTTTCAACGCTATCAAAGGAGGATTCAACGGCGGCTAAAATCACACCCGAAATCCTTCTGGAACTTCGTAAATGAGCAACGCAGGGAAGTCGGCTTACCCTCTTCCATGATTTTTAATGGTGAAACTGCTGGAAATCAACAAGACATTTGCAACCTGTTCTCAGCCAAATTTGCTGGCATGTTTGAAGCCGAGCAACTTTCCGCTAATATCATTACTTCTGCGGCCAGTAATGTTCCTTTGATCAACCAAACGCTCAGCATGGTCGAAGCCACTACAGATACGATTTCTAGAGCAGCATCTAAACTTAAGACTTCAACTAAGGCCGGACCCGATGGTGTTCCGTCGATTATTCTTAAAAAGAACATCACTTGTCTTTTAGATCCACTGCGCCGCATATTCCAGCTCTCTCTTTCCAGCGGCATCTTTCCGTCTTGCTGGAAGACTGCGGATATGTTTCCTGTTCATAAAAAGGGAAGCAAACGCGACGTAAACAACTACCGGGGAATCACGTCGCTGAGTGCTGTATCAAAACTTTTTGAATTGGTTGTCATAGAGTCCCTAAATGCGCATTGCAAGCAATATCTAAGTACAGATCAACACGGATTCATAACTGGGCGTTCCACAACTACGAACCTGCTGTGCCTAACGTCTTACATCACAGACAGCTTGATTGCTCGGACCCAAACGGACGTTATCTACACAGATCTTACGGCAGCCTTCGATAAGCTGAACCACGAAATTGCGATCGCTAAGCTTGATAGGCTAGGGATCGGTGGAAATCTTTTGAGATGGTTTCGTTCATACCTCACGGAGCGCCAATTGATAGTAACTTTGGGTACTTGTCGCTCAGCAAGCTTCTGCGCAAGTCCGGTATACCTCAGGGCAGCCATCTGGGACCATTGGTATTTCTCCTCTACTTCGACGACGTTCACCATGTTATCACAGAGCCACGATTATCGTTTGCAGACGATCTGAAAGTTTTTCTGCGCATCCGTTCACTCGCCGACTGCCGTTCTCTTCAAAATCAGATTGACATCTTTGCTGACTGGTGTAGTCTAAACCGACTGGTGGTCAACCCAGCTAAGTGTACAGTTATTACTTTCTCACGCAAGAAACAACCGATTATTTTCAACTACGAACTACTAGGCACGACTATCGAACGGGTGCACTGCGTGAAAGACTTAGGCGTTTTTCTAGACTCAAAGCTGACATACTCACACCATATATCGTATGTCGTCGACAAAGCGTCCAGAACGCTTGGCTTTGTCTTCAAGATTACTAAGAACTTCACGGACATTTACTGCTTGAAATCGCTCTATTGCTCTCTCGTACGATCTACGTTGGAATACTGCTCTGCTGTCTGGAGCCCGAACTACAATAATGGGGCCGAGCGAATTGAATCTGTTCAACGACGTTTTCTTCGCTTCGCGCTCCGTAAGCCTTGGAGATACCCACTTCGTCTTCCAAGCTACGAGAATCGCTGCCAATTGATCAATATCGAGCCCTTACGTATCCGAAGAGATGTTTTCAGAGCCTTAACCGTCGCCGATACTCTGCAAGGAAGAATCGACTGCGAAGCAATTCTGCAACAAGTGAACATTAATGTTCAACCTCGATCACTACGCAACAGTCTTATGCTGAGACTTCCACTTCTTCGAACTAATTACAGCATAGGGAGCGCTATTTACGGCTTGCAGCTAGTGTTCAACCGAGTAGCGTCGATGTTCGATTTCCACTTGACACGGAATATGCTTCGCCGAAGATTCTCTGCCTTTTTTGCTGACCGAAGGCGCTTGATGCCCAACAGCTAAGTGTAAAATTTAAGACTTATAAATTTTTAGTAGCTTGACAATGCTTTCCTAGTTATTTTCGTTTGTAACTGTAGTAACTGTAGTATATGTATGTCGTCTGTATAATCTGTACTTTTTTTACAACACATCATTGGGACTATTTCTAGTCTATTGATGCAACCATAACAAATAAACAAATAAACATTCTCATGTAGATATGAAATCCACAGGACAAGGGACTGTTATGCGAATAGCGGCAGTATACTGAATAATCGAATTCATCAAAATTTGGCATAGTTGTTTTATATGAAGCGAAAGAGTACTGGAGAAGCATATGTGACAACGACGAACCACGCAAGGCGTCAACAACGATTAGATGTATAGTAGACAGCATCGTTATGTTGCCAGTTATTTTATTTGTCTTCGCGTTTATCTCTCTCTCTCTCTTATGTCTCCACTTACGACTAATTTGAGGCCCTCATTATTAATCGTATCGTTCCCGATGAACACTGTCCACACTTGAATGTATTGATCAGAATATTGATTGAATGTTCGAAAAAAAAATTTCATCTTGCATACCATTACATGAACCAAATTTAGAAATATGGATAAAACAAAATCTTATATTTAAACCCTTGAGATTTGTGGAACACCGATGAAAAAACAATACGAAAATTTATGTGCAAAATAAGCTACAATACCAAATACAGAGTTGTTTAAAAATATATAGATAGATATTTAAAAAAAAATACACAATTTGACTGCCCGGAACGGCCATATACTTGTTCGCTGGAATACAGGTACTCGGTAGCACCATGCACAGCCGTGAAACGTGTTACTATCTTTTGAACTTCTTCATGTGTTCCAAAACGATATCATCCGGTGACGGGACGTTGAACCGGAAAGGCACCACTCCAGGCTTGGAAACGAATCCATGTCGAACATGTACTTTGATACGTTTCCTATACCGTACGCACAATATGCTGCCAAAAGCGGAGGAAATCGCCGTACAATTACTAAGCTTGCGATTCATTATAGCGCTGGAATCGATGAGGCAGAACTCATCGATCACCGGTTTTGATTCGACGATGTCACAATCAATGAATCCGTAGTTGATTGGATCGTCTTGTTCATCCTGTCCCGAGAGGAGAGCGGCTTTCCGGTGCTGCGGAGTGATTTCCGATTTGTCTCTTATCAGGGCAGACTTGAGATCGACAATCCATTCTTTCTTGCCCAGTGGGGTCTGTGGTATACGCTTCACGTTTGGCGTAAATCCTGGGGGAGGCCCTGAAGAGGGCGTATTGAAAATATTCGGTACTACAAAACCCCCGCTCTTTGAAGCTAGTGGACTACCGATCGGTGTTTCCCCTTTCGATTGCAGATGATGCCGGGCCAAATCGGTTAGGTTTGAAAACATGCTTTCCGCAGGGGAAGACGAGGCTATGCCACTATCACTGTTAATCGACAGGTCTGATAGTTTTGGTATAAGCGAGATCTGGCTGCCTGCACCGTCTTCGCTAGTTTCTTCGTCACTGCCGCTGGCACTTTCCGTTTCGTGTTTTTTCATACGTGATTTTACCAGCTCACTCAAATTGATTCCCGATTTCATATTGTTAGGTGAGACTTGCGCTACATTTGAACCAAAACGGGCAGTCGGTAAAGTAAAGCGGGGCATTCCTTGCGTCAGCGGTTTCACCGTTTGATTAACAGATAAAGAAGATATTTGATGTGTTTTAAAATCTTACCTTCCATAAGCAATCCAAGCAAAGCGCCCATTCGGTACAGGAGTGGGTTGAATCACAGGATGTGTTGAACGTGCAAAGAAAGATTAGAAACGGAAACTTGTTAGAAGTACACACCAGCACCTAGGGAGTACAGATTCGTTTTGACGCTGTTAGCATCAAGCGAACAATTTAAATACTATTGTACACGCAAACACATGTATCTGATTGAATTTCATCACATTGTTTTTCATGTCGTCAGTATGGTAACCAGTGCACTTAACATAAGATCATTGGTAGGTTGAATTAATGTGTAACTCCAAAGAAATGCAAAAAAAAATGTTACGTTAATTTCCAAATATCTACTTGTTCGAAATTCATTCAATACAATTAGAGCAATTAGAGCGTTATTTTAAAACTTTCAATAACACAATCAAAGTTGGCAACACTACTACGCTTGATCTTGCTGGATATTGTGAAATGTATGTACCACTGATAAACAGTCCCGTCATAAGGACGCTATCGCATAAAATCCCATTCAATGGTAAACAAACTGCTCATTCTCCACCGAAGCGGTTTCGAGATAGTCACCTTTTTCGATGGGCTCCTGGACTTCTACGGTGGTAATCTGCTCTGCGACGTCCGACAGCGGTGGACTCTTGTTGCTGTTCAGAAGTTCATCTAAAGCGAGGTCAAAATCGTAATTATGCTTCATTATCGCTTCCACCAGCTGCCGATCGGAGAGGGATTCACCCACAATGTTCCTTATCTCGTCCATACAGGACATTAGGCGAGCTCGATCCTCATCGTTCAATTCCGGTAGCTGATAGCACTGCCATGGACCCAAACATCATCAGTGTTGATAGTCAACGCACAAAATGTAAATTCAACTCACCTCCGAATCCCTTCTGTGATGTGGACCTTTCGCACGATTCACGGCTGCATGCTCTGCCTCCGCTAGTTCAGAGTCGTCTTCCTCTTCGATGTCCCGGTTGTTGGCAAGGAAAGAGGACATACTGTGCTGTCCTCTAGCTCGGTCGAAGATCCACTGTTGGGCGTCCGTCGGGGAGATGCACTCATCTTCCACCGAGTGCCCGTACGGATAATCATCGTCGTCATCGTATTCTGTTACCAAACAAAAAATAATTAAATAATAGCGAATTCGTTTATTATTCAGTTCCAACCTGGATCGGGTATCAAGATTGGGTCTGCTTGTTTTCCGACAAACGTCAGTTTGCTCGTTTGTTTTTAAAACCTAGCTCAGGTTGAGGTTCGCACTGACACAAAGTTCGGTTTCGCACTGGGTTGGAACTGGTTCCAACCCCGATAATAAACGAATTCGCTATAAGACTGAACTAGCTTTCAAAATAATAACATCCACTTACCATCATAGTTCATAGTCCGTACATTTCGATGGCGAGACATTTTGCTGTAGCTTAAATTTTTTATTAATTAGGGGAAATTTCTTCTAGCTCACAAATAGCATTTGATTATCGTACTATGTGTCCTGGGGAACCTTTACCACTATTTTTCGACAATGGAACGCATATTTTAAATCAGTAAAATAAAGAATAAATATATCGATTGCGTTGCAATCGCAAGAAAAACTTTTACAAATATGAATGACAGATGCAAGCATGCATCATCACTTTCACGCTAACCCCGAAGTACCCATTAATGAGTAAAAAAGTACCCATTTCAAAGAAAAGTGGCTTAACTCATGAAATGAGTAAAACCAATTTTACTCATTAATGAGTATTTCACGAGTACTTCATAAAATGGGTATTTTTTAATCATCGTGTTGTTGGGTAATGGGGAAAAAGTACCAATTTTTTAGAAAAAAAACAAGCCTTTAGGACTCATTACCATCAATAATAAATACGTCAAAATTCATCTTAAAATCATCACACAAAGCTCAAATTAAAATAATCAAACAAATCACTTTTTTTATTAGTACAAATCAAGCAAAAATTAATTGAATATTTGATCTATAGATTATAGATAGCTGCCGATGCAAGTTCCCTGAGGTCTGCTTTTGTCGGTTTGCTGCGGTAATAGAAGGGATTTCTTATGCGATACTTGTCCATCCTATCCTCATCCTGCACTTGCTTTACTTCCATCGGCTTAACATCCGGCAAATGCTCATTAACTTGTCCAGCTTTCTGGGGATGATACTACAGGATGTGGGCCTTCAAAGCTTTTAATAGAAGCTGTATTGAGCCACACCAGCACCGTAATGAAACAGGATTCAGATAACCTGAAACTAACGCAGTGCATCCGGAAACAAAATAAGATAATGCTGAATGAATTACAGAAAAATCAAAATAAACGAAAAATATTCTACCTTTCAGTTTTCCGCACTCTTCTGGGTTCAGTTGATCTTTTAGGGCTTCCATTTTCTCTCTAATCCCGTCATATATAACTGATTTGCACTTGCAAAATGCCGTCAATTTTGCACTGAATCAATAATGAATCTCTTTTAGTCATTTTTATTCCAGAACAGGTTTTCAAAGAAGGGGAAAAAGTACCCATTTTTCAATATTACGAAAATACTCATTTTTTGACATTTTAGAACCAGTTCTAAAAATGTGTACAAGATACTCACTTAATGGGTACTCTAGAGTTAGCGTGTTGGCTATGCACGCAACGTTAGCCGTCAAAACTGTCGTTTGTTTTTGGGTGGTACACACGAAGAAATGTTATTCCGAACAAACTGGTAAAAACAACTCTGCATTTAAAAAGCCAAAATAAGTTGCTTTTGGTTTTGCTCTGAGTACTGCGGGCTCACTCAATGTGATTGTCAACTGGGAGCCAGCGTGAACTGTCAAACGGGAGCCAAACATTGTCAACCATTCTTTTTGGAACATATTTTTAATTTGGTTGTTTAGGGGTATTGAGATAAATACATATTCGTCATCTGCATTAAAAATGGAACCGAAATCCAAAATTTCATCAATTTTGGTACACTGGAACTATTTTAAATAAGTACGATTACATTAGCAAAAATGGTGATCTTAGTGCCCCTCGGCGGGACTTTGTATGGGAGCGAGGTGTCAACGAATAGATTTATAGAGATTGCTGACGTTTATCGTACGCACACTACGTCACGTATACGTATACGCAAAATGTTTTCATCGGGAAAAAAACTTCATAGCGAAAAAATTTCCCGATGAAAACAAATCACTGACACAATCATACTTTAGCAATCTCCATGGTGGTAAGCTCCAACTCGGATAACCTTTTAATACCGTCCCTGTTCGGATGATCTGCAAAGTGTTTGCTTAGAGTTGTATTAAATAACTCTTATGTCGACATTAAAGCAGCCTTACATTCTTGATCGGGATTTAATCCGAGGATAATACCGGTTGGAGCTTACCACCATTAGTGTCATCGATCAAAAATTTAAATCTAGATTTAAAAATCGAGATGAATATCTACTGGATCGATAAACATATCGCTGTGCTCAGAAAACGAAGCTCTATCAGATGATGTATAAAAATCGGTATATTTTTCAAAGTTACAGAAACCAACAGGCTACGGGCTACGCGACGAGAGCATATAAACCCGAGTATAAACCCGAGTATAAACCAGCACAGTTTTTATGACTCAGCCGAGGTTTCAATCGCAATAAAACATACGTTGGCGAAACCTAAACAAACTTAAGTATAGTCATGGGGGCTCGAGCACTTCTGGCTCAAAAAGCTCTATGCAAGCTATTTCTAAATAACCTAAATTTGAGTAGGATCTGCCAGGCACGGATGATCATTTACATTCATTTTATACATTCATTTACATTCATTTACCTCTAACTTTTTTCATCAATAGGATTCCGTAAAATGATGTATAAAATTATTGTAGGTTTTGATATTAGCTAAAACTTTTGTCAACAACTCAAATCTGTATCTCTTATACATGACGAACCAGAGCGAACAGAACTCACCATTGTTTTTTAGTGAATGTAAATTACATTACAAGTTCTAACCGCTCTATTTCGTCATGCATAAAGGCCCACACAGAAAAAAAGTTGTTGAATATTACATCCAAACTGCTGCAACCAGGTCAATCCATTGGTTGTGTAATATAACGTTGTACGATGTACATCGATTTTGCGAACAAAATTACATCCATTGATGTAATATCATAGAGGTAACTCTAAGACCAGAAGGTCCCGAAGAAATGTGCTCAACTTTTTGGCTCAGCTCTGGTACTATCTTCGGTCCCAAGCTAATCGATGCACCCCTCGAAACATAGGAAAATCAACGAACAAATTTGAGTTATTGACAACAAATGTAGCTAATATCAAAACCAAGGTTGCAAATTCTCATTTCAGCTAAAACAATGTTTTTTTTTTAAATTATGAAATAATTAGATGCCATGATCATATTTTGAATTGGTAGGATACAAGAAGAGGTTGCAAAGAATGTGTTTGACATATTAAACCTGTTAATTTCACTTCATGAGAGTCACAATCAGCGATTTTTCACACACTCACTCACGCAGCGATCAGAAAATCGCTGATTGTGACTCATAGAAAGCAAAATTTACAGGTTTAATGTTTCAAACGCATACCTTGTAACCTCTTCTTGTTAGTTACAAGTAAAACATGCCATCATACCATCTTTTGGTTTTATTATTCCAAAAAAAATATTTTAGCTGAAATGAGAATTTGCAACCTTAATCAAAACCACAGACAAACAGACGTAACTCTTTGAAAAAGTTTTTCTTGAAAACATAATATCTCAAAACATAGGACCTCAGTAACTACATCTCTCGGGCTTCTTCTCGCGGAAAACAAGCTTGCTCGCTAACTCGCAAACAATATTGCATAAAAGTTATATAGAATGTATAGAAACGTCAAAGTGATCCGATGACAGCGCTGCGACGAGAAGTTCGCGGAACTGATAATATTCAAATCAATCGTTAAATGCGTGAACTAAGGCTGTGGTCCATTTGGTGAATTTTCACTTAAATTTGACACTTCGAAACTAAATTATAATGTTCGAAAATCCCTCTGTTGTTGATCGGCCAATTTTCGAGAAGGTGTGTGTCAAAATTGATTCCTTGTCTGTCAGATATAAGTCTGCTGGAATAGCAGGTTTATTTGAAAATTTTCCATCTGTCAAGTTTAAGTGAAAATTCGCCAAATGGAACACAGCCTAAGATACACAATGAAGTGGTACGTCTGTTTGTCTGTGTCATAACCGACATTAATTAGATATATCATTTTACCTAATTCTGTTGATGAAAAAAATTACAGGAAATTGGGTTGTTTAACTTCGAAAAATATACCAATTTTAATATAGGAGAAATGCTAGGGGCATCCCACTCTAAACTTCATACCAAATATCAATCAAATATTTTTAAGTTTCACGCAAGTATTCTTAGGTATTTTAAAGTATTTTTACCCTTGGCTAGATTTCCATCGTAGTAACACTTGTTTTTATTATGACCTGTTGCTAGTGCAGTTGTTTGTTGTCAGTCGTCTTGTATTTATAAAAAAAAACATATGAGTGTAAAGGGGTAAGTATTTCTATCGTTTTATTATGTGTATACAATAGTATTATTTCGATTTTTCAGCAATTCAGATTTCAAAAATGCATAGCTTCAAGAGCTAGTTACAAAAAACGATGTTTTGAGTACAAATTTAACTATATCTTCCGATCGAGTGATATCTTAAATTGTTTAATGGCTCACATATAAGATCCAGCTGATGAATGAGTATTAAATTTTCTACACATGTTAACTACCAGCGAGCAGCAGATCATCATTTTATATTTTCTTTTGCAGAATATTCTGATTCCAAGCAGACCAAGAGAATACTCCGTGGACAAAGCGCTGATAAATTTTTAGGAGCGCAAAAAACGCCTGAGAAAATTTAGGAAGGGAAGTTTGTTGATCCACTGGGTGTGATTCGTTTCTTGCCGGAAGCTTTTGGCCATGTGTATTATTGAATCAACTACCAGAATGTTAATTTTTTAAAGTCATGAAATTATAGCATCACATTGAACATATCATATTCCCCCCTATTCTGCGAGTCACGTGACTCTCTCTCACCTCACACGAGGTGACAATTGTCACCTCACCGGTGAGAGAGAGTCACGTGACTCGCAGAATAAGGGGGATTGTTTGTTTTTATTATACGTATGAAAAAATAAAGAAAACTAAATCCGATAATTTAAATCATTCTGAATATGTTTATCAACTGTGTTCAGTTCACTGGCCTTTTTGATATATTCTCTACTGTAATAAACATGTTCTGCGTTTAGAAGCTGGGAAGCTAAGAGATCTGGGTACGAGTAATACACCCATATTCTCGTTTAAAATACTGCTCGAACGTGAACGAGAATATGGGTGATAGTATGGTCGCATGGTTTCGTCACATCTAATTATGCGTTTAATAGGCGGGCGTTGTCATTGTCACATAGCCAAGAACGTAGCGGACTGAAAGAACAACACAAAATTCTCTATAACAATGATAAAACTTAAATCTAACGAACAACAACAAAAGGTTCCCACACACTTAAATTGTTTTGCCGAGATTCCAACAGCCGAGTAGTTCTGCAATTTATTTTGCTGAGATTCAGTAAAAGAATTGCCGAGACTCAGCTAACAAATAAGATTTTACTGAGATATCAGCTAACAAATTGATATTATGCAGAGGTATCAGCAAAAGTAAATGCCGAGGTAATCGGCTGTTGGAGATTTTACCGAGCTAGATTAAGTGTGCATGTCTTTCAGAATTAATTCCTTTTGGTACATGACACATGATTACACCGGAAATAATCCGAAACACCTACCTGTTCACGCTCTTAATTAAATAAGTGTTAGTTTCTTAACAAACTGACCAATATTAACATAAAACACCTGACATTTTATAAACAAGCTAATTAAATTGGTATAGCAACCAAAAAAAATAAACTAACGCTTGATATTTCTTAAGTATTTTTAAGTATTTTAAGGTATCTTAGATATCACTAAGATCTTTATATGTATATTGGGAAAAATACAAAGTTTAGAGTGGGATGCCCCTACACACAAAAAATTATCGTTAGTAAAATTGAAAAATCCATTGGTAGAATTAAAAGTTTCCGTTGGTTCTTTTTGGTAGAAAGTCTTTAGCTTTCAAAACAAAAGTCAGCTAACTGTCAATTCAAAAGTAAATCGTTTTTTACTTTTAAAAGTTGAAACTTTCAAATCGAATTGTAGAACTGTCAATATGAAAACCTATTTTGTTAAATAGACTCATGAAAGGATTTAATTTAAAAGATGGGCAGTTTTATCGCAATGATTTATGTTTTCATTTCAAATATGAATTCTTTTTAATTCAATTGCTTTTTACTTTGAAAGAAATAAAGCATAGAAATATTTAATTTAATATATTTTAGTTTATTTATATGATGCTGACTGAAAGGTCACGGCATTATGGAACTTCAAAGCATGGCAAGCGTATTGCGCAAATATATATATTACATATATATATACAGTTGGCTGAACAGCTAGTGATGGTGATGGTGGGAGTATCCTTCCTTTCCGGCAAATCTGACGAGGCTGCTGAAAATCAAAACATATCAATTAGGAAAATTGGAACCAAGCAAACTCTTCGAAAATTTCATCATCTTACCTCCAAATCCCGTAGCTGGAGGATCCTTCCAATCCTTCCACTTCATAGCGTCACCACGAATGTCTTCATCTTATTATTTGTATATTGTAACGGGTCAGGTGTTTTGGAACTAGGAATGCTTACAATCTTCACTTAAGCGCCAGGTAGATACGAGAATCTACCGTGAAGAAGCGAGGGACTCAAACAGACCCGTCCCGGCTCTGAGACCTCAGGGCGAGTTCACTCGTAACAACAAAAGGCGAGCAAAGCGGTTGCGAATTCTGAAAATCAAAACTTAACCAACAGGGGAAAGACTCATTCAAATCAGTAAGAGGGGTTTCCTTTGAAGGATTGCCTCTGCTTACCTACGGGAATAATTAACAACGTTCACGCGAATTTAACCATTTAAATGCTTCCGTCACTCTTTCACGTGTCCGATCACTTATTCGAATCTCTTCACTGCGAGGTGCATTTCAGGTGTTTATTCATAAAACTAGGGTTAGTAGGGGGTACATCGAATAGGGTTTTGATCTGTGCTAACCTGACTTCTGTAGCGCTGGATGTCGGGACACGTGTCCGTGGTTCAGCCTCGGCGATACGTGGGCCGAGTGCGTGGGTGGCAAATGTTCGTTCGCTGGTGTCCGTCGTTTTGTCGTGTAAGAGGTTTGTGGCTCTGCTAGCGTATTACACCCTCCCCGTGCAACGTTCGCTACTCACCGCTACGTTGAGGTTATGGTGAGGTTGGGATTCACCAAGCCGTCGTGCTTTCGACGTTCGCGCAAAGCTTCCCAGAGGTAATGCACGTGGCTGATCTGCAGATGGCGTGTGTGAGGTTAGGAGTGAACCGTTTGTTCCGACTCCAATCAGTCCAACACGTGTACGGTGACGTCCAGGCGAGTCGACCTCAATGAAGGGATCCGTCCTTCGCTCGGTCGTTCTGGATCCACGACCCGAGGGGTGCACCCTTGTTTGAAGGGATTGTTCCTTTCGAAATGGCTGGCACTTGCTTGTGCAAGCGAAGCGTCCTCACACTTTACACTATGGCTTCCCTAGCCGGAAAAAATCACTAATTCAGCAAACGGCTTTTTTTTTTAACCACTAGACCTTTCTACATCGACTAGGTACTCCTACTTCTTTTAATTCTTGCCTTCACTAGATAAACTATCTTTGACCGTGTGATCGGTAACGCAGTTGAGATCAGATCATTCAATTGGACAGCCGTCTACTTTCACGACCCAGTATCGAACCGAAGTTTGTCAGGTCAGAATTCGTGTCCCATTATACACACTCGGGAGAGTTTTTCCGGTGGCATAAACTCTACCTACCCGTCGTCATTCGATATTCCTCGCCTGACGTTTCTGACCGGTTCGAGTCCAGAGACTAGGAACGCGATTCGCTCGTGTGAAAATAGTAATTTTAATGGGGTTGTGTAGGACTGTATTCTAGGACTTATTTTTTTGAATACTTGTAACCTTGTTACAATATTACAGAAGAGAAACAAGCGCACCGGTGGATGAAAATGTGGAAAAGTTCAAGAAACTGCTGCTGCTCATGCTAATTATCACAGCTGCTTTTGTTTTGTTTGTTTGTTTCGCATGTCCAATTTGGCGGGAAACACAGGTCCAGTACTGTCAAAAACATCGCAAGGAAGAGATTTTTTGACAATTTTACAACTTTTATTCTAAAAAATAGACTTTTAAAATTACAAGCCGAAAGTGAAAATAACACTTTTAAATCAAAAAAAATATTTTACATTTGAAAAATTTCATAGTTGAAACTACGAAATTTGGGAAACTTTTAATTTGATCATGCATTATTCTTAAAGCAACAATTTTTGTTTTTTGTGTGTAGGGGAAATGTCTCTAATGTTGGCCTATGGCTCTATGATTGGGCCCATCGCTAAAAATTTGCTATTTATCATTTTTTTTTCTAGATGAACGTGTTATATCATCTGATAGAGCTTCGTTTTCTGAGCACAACGATAATTTCATCGATCGCGTAGACATTCATCTCGATTTTTAAATCAAGATTTAAATTTTTGATCGTTGAAACTAAATCTATTCGTTGACAGCTCGCTCCAGTACAAATTCCCAACAAGGGGTGCTAAGATGGTGATTTTTGCTAATGTAATCGTACTTATTTAAAATAGTTCCGTGGTTTCAGTGTACCAAAATGGATGAAATTTTGGATTTCGGTTCCATTTTTAATGCAGATAACGAATATGTATTTATCTCAATACACCTATACAACCAAATTGAATGTAAATGATTTTCCATGCCTGGGATCTGCTCATAACCGTCAAAAGTACGGCTACCCAAAATTGAGTAAACAAATTTGGAACTGACAAGATGACAAATGAGCAACATCGTTCGTCATCTTGTCAGTCCCAACTTTGTTTACCCTATTTTGGGTATCCAGCCATACAAAAGGCAATCAAAAGTACTTAAAGTAATTAACGCGTTTTGAAGTAGTACTGACGGTAATTAAAATTATCTATCCGTATGAATGTAATTAAAAGTATTGAACATGTAATAAATGTACTTTAATTACGAAATTTCAACTGTAATTAATGGAGTTAAAAAGTAGTTAATGTTCTACATTGTATAATTAATGTAATTAAATCAGTAGTTAATGGCCTGCGTTGGAGTTAAGGTTATTGCGTGCCCTCACAGCAAAAAAGTTGTTGAATATTACATCGAAACTGATGCAACCAGGTCAATCCATTGGTTGTGTAATATCACATTGTACGATGTAGGGGAAATGCAGGTAATGTCGGCCTAAGTGTCCCTAACTTGGGCTCATACATAAATACAGCAATCGACTAAATTTTCAATAGCAACCAAAATATCCATTAGTAACGTCCCAATAACGCGTTCATCTAGATAACATTGATAAATAGCAGATTTTTAGCGATGGGCCCAATCTTAGATCCATAGGCGAACAAAATTACATCCATTGATGTAATATTGTATCTGCTTTTTGCTATTACATCATTATTTCATACATCAGCTTGAATTACGTTGATCGATATTGCATTTTTTTTTTGCTGTGTACTTACTTTACTTTACTTTATTTATACCTTACGGATATGAGTAGATCCTACTTAAATTTGGGTTGTTTAGAAATAGCGTGTATACAATTTGTCGGATTAGAAAACGTACACTGAGAAACCAAACAACTCAAAATTAAGTGCACGCTTTTGTGATGACAGCTGTATTTGCTGCATAAACTCCCGGCTTCATCAGAATTAACTTTAACATTAACAGACGAAACTTTCCCAATATTTTATTTGAAATAAATGCCGCCCAAAAAAGATGCTAAAGGAGGAGCAAAGGCTGCCCCGGCAAAAGGTGGAGCTGGTGGAAAGAAAGGTGGCGCGGGAGCAGACGAAGGTGAATATTGTAAGGTTGTAATAATCGGCGCTGAACAACATTCACTGATATTTTCAGCTGGTGGCAAGGAAAAAAAGGGTGGAAGTGCTGTGAAGGTTCGTCACATTTTGTGCGAGAAACAAGGCAAAATTATGGAAGCTCTGGAAAAACTGAAGGAAGGACAAAATTTCAACGTGGTGGCAACAAACTACAGCGAGGACAAGGCTCGACAGGGTGGTGACTTAGGATGGCAAATTCGTGGAGCCATGGTTGGACCGTTCCAGGATGCTGCTTTTGCACTGCCTATTTCCACCATAAATGCTCCTAATTACACGGATCCACCGATCAAAACTAAATTCGGTTATCATATAATAATGGTTGAAGGGAAAAAGTAATAAAATGCATCGGTACTTTTGGAACATTTTTTATTTGTATCTTGCTTAATCAAAAACTCTTTTTGAGCGAATACTTCCGGTCGCCATCAATTGACTTAATAAACTCTCCTGTCCTGAAGAAACAGTAAGCTACCGCATAGAGCATGAAATAATTATTAATACTTTCGAAATAAGTTCGCCGAATGTAAATGTAACCAACTTCCTCTCGAGCAAAGAAAAAGAAATTCGACAGAACAGATAGTACAAACACGTGCGTTCCTACCAACGCCCCCAGTTTGCTATTGGTACCGAATATACTTTTCACAAAACCTTCCATCACAATGCAGATCCAGTTTAGTGCAGACCAAATCATGACAAACGTGTACAGTCCATGCCAGATGTATATGAAAATGAATGTTATTGAGCTGGCAAAAATCTTCCGAATATTTGAAGACGTTTTGGTGCACAGTTGTGTGTAGATGTACCTGTGAGTAAGGAAAAGTTACCTGTAGAAATGTGTTCAGTAGAAGGCTAACTTGATTGGGCTTACTTGAATAAAAATTCGTACAAGCCTCGGTCGAAAAATTTCCACATATCTGAGTAGAGATGAACTCGTCCAATGCATATTGGTTTATGAGGCATTATAACACCATCGAAGTTGCCGAAAGCAATCCCAATGCCATAGAATACAACATACTTTACGTAGAAAAACTGGCCCATCAGGTAACCCAAGCCGTACAGGGCCCATAAGTTGACGTGATGTAATAGCTAAAAAATACAATTACTAATTCCAGCCGTTTTTAATTGCTTACCATACTGCATACCTTCAAATCTAATTGAATGACGTTGATGTAGAAAAAATGCTGACCAGCTTCCATTACCAATGCCCAGAAGTAGCATACGACGAGTCGTAGCACTAGTTTCTTCAATCGTTCAAATGTGTTCACGCTTTCCAATGGCCAACTTACTCGTTGGCATTCCTTGAATCGATCATAGATAATCACTGGGCCGAACAACAGCAGAGGAAAGTAAAATGAATATCCCAATAGATCCAGGAATTTGTAGCTTTGCTGATCGGACCTGGCATTCACCCGATCCAAGCAAAAGCATGTGCATTTGATTACGTTCCATGAAATGATGATACTAAACTCTAGCAGCTGATCGTTGTCGATGTCGAGTACCACGTTCAGTTGGTCGTAAAAGAACAGAATCTTAACGGTGTTGATGAGTGCTATCCAAAGAAATGCCTTGATCCAAAGTACGGTTGCACTTTTGGTCCATTGGCCGACCGCGAAGAATGTAAAGTTTTGCAAAATTAAAATTAACAGTACCTTGTAACCGTAAAGGTAGAACACAGCTCCACAGCCGAAAATGGTCAGCGCTAAAGAAATTTGTTTAACTCGTAGGATTCTAATAATCTCAAACAGGAATGCATGAAGAACAAATAACAGCACATTACTGATGGCGTACTTTTTGTAGATCTCCCACTCCCAGTCGTAGTCATCACGACGACGGCCCTTGAAAATAGACCAACCTTCCTCGAGGTAGTAGTAGTTTTGCAGGTTCTCTGAAATGGTAAATTAATATAAAATAGTTGTAAATAAGTAATGTTTTTTTTCTTAGACGAACTTACCGTTGCTTAGTTCGTAGTTCTTGTAAAACGAGTAAAAAAGGCACGAAACATAAAATACTACACATAGGGCCGTATCTATGGAAACTTTGATCGGCCTCATGATTCCTCGCTCTCCGCTACAGGTCGCAGTAAATAATGCTGTTTAATTTTGTCGGACTAATTCCATTCATTAAAGTGCTTCCTGACGCTGGCAGTCACGAATGAACTAGTTTGTTTACTCTCTGGTCTTACGCACACAAATGTTACCGTTAGAATCGCATGCAATGAGGGGAATGAAACTACCACATTTAAACTACATCGCATTCGCTACGATGTCAAGCTAACCACTCCACCACTCAGTGTAGAACGTAAACAAAATTGAAGTCTGGTAAGTGGTAACAATTTTTATTGATACTTTTTCACAACTTTTACACGAATTTTGTTGAAGATAACACTTTTAATACGTTGTACGTTGTAGAAACTGTGGTTAGCTTTGGCAACAAGTGTAACTTGAACTTAAAGTCGAATCTTTCTTCGAAATAATCGTCACAGAAGACCGGCTATGCCTTCTGCCTGCACGTGTTGATCTACCACCTTCCGCACTTTTGGAATGCGAATGGATGAATATAAGGACGGTATGCAATAGTTGTGGGCCCTTAGTCTCAAAATTAATCGATTAAATTTAGTTTTTAGGGATTTCTTTAACCCTTCCAACCCAATATGCCGCGGATACACTTGTATGACAAATTATAAGCATGAGCCTTATTTGTATAATAATGCCTTGTTCAGACTGGAGAGTTATAACAACAATCAATACGAAACTAACGATTTTAAATTGGCTCACGACTTTAGTAGCCTATTGGTCCCAAGCAAATGATTAACGTACCCTATTCTAGTCGAAATTCTAGTACTACGCAATGTTTGTTTTGATTCGCTATGAAAGTTTGACAGATAAAATGAGGGGTTATTGGTTTTTCCTATGTTTCGAGGAACGGCGCCGGTGGTGTAGTGGTAAGCGTGATTACTTCTCACCCCAGCAGGCCTGGGTTCAATCCCAGTCGGCGCCGCCGGGATGTTCTGAGGCATAACATCTCTGATCACGCCTTCCTTCGGATGGGAAGTAAAGCCGTTGGTCCCCGGTTCATGAGTTTGATGGGTCGATAGGTTAGGGTCCAGGTGTGGGAGCTGCCTTCCTGGCACGTCGGTAGCATTGGTGCTCAGCACGGAAAACAAGATCGACGGAAAAAACAAATCAAAGGACTATGTTTCTTCGAGGGGTGAATCGATTAGCTTGGGACCGAAGAGAGTACCAGAGCTGAGCCAAAAAGTTGAGCACGTTATTTCGGGACCTTCTAGTCTTAGAGTTACCTCTATGGTTATAACATGTTATAACAGTTGTCAAATAATTGCAACACAGAAACCACCATCAAGATAGCACTATAACATGTTATAACTCTATAGTCTGAACGTACTATAAAACTCATGCTCATCCATGGTAATACAAGTGTGTAGTTTCTTTTAAAGCGCGCATAACTACTATATGTACAAATATTGCTCATGCTCATAGTTTGTCATACAAGTGTATCCGCGGTATTAGTCATATAAAACGTAACTCCCCCTTTGAAGGCCCTTAGTACGTTCAGACTACGGAGTTATAACATGTTATAGCGCTATCTTGATGGTGGTTTCTGTGTTGCAATTAGTTGACAACCGTTATAACATGTTATAACTCTCCAGTCTGGACAGCGTTTTATAGTACGTTCAGACTACAGAGTTATAACATGTTATAGCGCTATCTTGATGGTGGTTTCTGTGTTGCAATTATTTGACAACCGTTATAACATGTTATAACTCTCCAGTCTGGACAGCGTTTTAGATATGAAAATGAAACACCAAATTCGATACGCCTATAAAGTTGGCCTCTAGCGGCCATCTCGTAAAACATCATAATGATGCAGATATTAAAACTTTGCACGACGAGTAATTTTTGAATGAAGTACATTCAATATTTTTTATTAATAAATTATTAATATAAATGTGAAATCTACCTATATTTGCCTCGAATAATCAGCGAATAATTTTATAATAAAATATTTAATATAATCCGGCGGTGTGTCGATAACCATGAAAACCTGGAATATTCAGGGAATTTAATTTTACTTGAAAATACTGGAATTATCAGGGAATATTCATATTCCTTAACCAAGCTAATTTTTAAGAATCAATGATATTGAAGTGCGCCAGAAAAGCTTTTCAGTAATTTTAAAATATCTTCAACATTTGAATTTTAACAACTGAGCAACATTTGAATTTTAACAAGCAAATGAATAGGTTCGTTTTGTTTTCTATACATTTCCCCATACAACGTTTAAAATTCTCCCGCAAATCCAGATCATAATCAAATAATTCTTTCAAATTTGACACCGTTGTTGGGGATCTCAATACACATCGGAAGAGCAGATCCGAGAAGTTGTCCACTGAACTTTTTGACGTTTAATCGGCGTACACTAATGCCCTATTTAAATTGAAGGAGTGCGAGCAAGAGGGATACAAATTAGTGGGAAAACAAACCATCCATTCATCCCTTCTTATTTCCTTTATTTAACGTCGGTCTCTGTTCCGCAATCTAGTGCCAATCACCGACGGACATCGATTGCCATCCATTGACGGCAATCGAATGTGCAGGAAGGCAGCTTCCACACCTGCGTAGGATATCGCACCCATTCAACACACATGGGCCGGGACCAACGGCTTTACTTCCCTTCCGAAGGAAGACGTGACCAGAGATTTTTATGCCTCAGAAAAATCCCACCGACCTCGGCTGGGATTGAACCCAGACCCATTGGGGTGTTAGAAAGCAGTCACGCTTACCACTACACCACCGGCGCCGGCATCCATTCATCCCTGTGTCCTAGATAGGGAAAGACAATCAAACGTCAAAAAGGTTGACACGCTAATGACAAGTGTACAACTGATTGATTGATTGATTTATCTTTATTTAGGAGGCTTTCAACCTGAGGCTGGTTCGCCTCTAAAAAGTGTACAACTGAGATGATCATCAACAAAAACGAAAATCTACTGATATGATAACAGTCATTGTGTAATGTATCTCGAAATCCCGACCATCTAGGAAGTTGCTGTCTGTGGCAACTCAACTAACAATTTGTGCTGATTAAAGGCTGAATAAGGAAGTTTTTAGCTGAAGAAGCATATTTTTGCCTGAATAAGCTCTTATTCTGCTTCCAATGTTTCTTGGGAAACTTATTCAGATAATCAAGGCCTTTCGAAAGGTGGTCAGATTAGCTCAAAATTCTGCCATCATGCAGCGTTTATGTGCTGGAACTTCCAGTATATACCATATCTCGAGATCCTGACCAGCTGGGAACTTGCTGTCTTCAGAAAAGTGGTTCAGATAGCCAAAACATTTCAACTGGTGAGTAGATGAGTTCAAGATTATTCCACTATGCGGTGCTATTCCACCGACAAAGCTATTCTGCCTGTGAAATTTCAAGGTTTGCTATATCACGAGATCCTGGCAATCGGTCTTCGGCAAAGTTATTCAGGTATCCAAAATCTTTCAAATTGCGATAAGATTTGTTTAGAATTGTCACTATGCGGCGCTAGTATGCATATGAGATTTCAAAGTTGGCTGAATATCTGGAAAATTGCTGTTTTCAGCAAAGTTTATCAGCTTACTCAATAAACTATTTTTTTTAAATCTAGTTCGCTTATTTGGAAAGCTCAATCGTGTTAGCTTTACTAACACGACAGACAAAAGACAAAGGAATTACATTCTTATACCAGAAATTTACAGAAACACATAAATCGACTGAGCAACACATAGCAGAGATCACGAGTTCACGAGTTGTCTTCCTTGGACCTCGAGGGTATTCAAAAATTGGTCTATGGTGGCGTAATTATGGCGTACATTGCCAAACTGCATGGTCGATGTCATCGTAACCGTTTCCACACCGACAAATGTTGCTGTCCGAGAGATTTATTCTATGAAGATGCGCATCTAGCGAGTAGTGGTTGGCCATAAGTTTACTCATCACGCGAATGAAGCCACGACTTAAGCCCAAGCCTATAAACTACGCTCTCGAAGAATCATTAGGAACAACTGAATATAAACGCAATAATCCTTCTGAATGGTTAGATATAGCATATTTTGGAAGTTCACATGCACACTAGCACCACGTAGTGAGTAAATTTTCAACTTAACTGTACACCATATATAAGGCCTTAGAAAACTGAACAAATTTGGTCAAAACAGCAACTTCCTAGATAGTCAAGATCTCGATATATACACACTCAGAATTTATTGTCGTGTTCGGTAACTTTTTTCCAAAATCTCAACAGTTGAATGTTTGGTAATACTTTGACCTTCATTGTAAAGCCTATTTTGCCCAACAATGATTTCAAAACACGTTCAACCTTGTTCAAATGATCAAATAATGTGATTGTAGGGGAGCTTTCGTTTTGAAATAGCTTAAAAACAATTTAATTGAATAGCCCAAATTTTACCGAACAGTTCAGCCACAGACAAACAGGCGTAATTCTTTGAATTTTTTTTTCTTGGAAACATAGTATCTCAAAACATAGGACCTCAGTAACGAAATCTCTCGGGCTGCTCACGGATAACAATCTTGCTCGCTAACTCGCAAACAATATTCCATAAAAGTTATATAGAATGAATCGAAACGTCAAAGTGGCCCGATGCCAGCGCTGCGGCGAGTAGTTCGGGGTACTGATAATATTCAAATCAACCGTTAAATGCTTAAACGAAGATACACAATGAAGAGTTACGTCTGTTTGTCTGTGGTTCAGCTGTTGAGATTTCCGAGGGGAGCGTCACATCTAAATCTCAAATCTCGATGCTCGAAAAATCTCGCACTAGCGAATCAATCTACGAAAAACCTTCTTTCATTTCTCGCATCTACTTGCAGTGTGCATCATCTTTTTGCAGGAAATCTTCAGAATCGTCATCAATCTTCTTTTTACCTACTCAGTGTGCGTGCAGGTGCAGCTAACCACTGCAAAAGAAAATCTTTCCAGCCTCGAAGATAGAGTCATCCCCCCTCGGAGATTTCGGTGAAAATGATCGAAGTCGGCGATAATTTCTAAGTGTATAGGACATTTTGAAATTTCACATGAAGTTTAGCGCCGTTTGGTGGCAGAATTCTGAACTAATCTTTTCTCCATTCGAAAGGCTTTGCTTTTTTGAACATCTTTGCTGAAGACAGCTACTTTCTAAATGGTCGAGATTAACAGATTATTCTCGCCTGACTTGGGGAATCTTCTGTGACGACAGTTGATGATGATGAATCTGTGTGAATCTTATGCTGTGAACTATGCCTCAACACTATTGGTTTGAATTGTGACACACTTGAAGTCTATGTGCCTCAAATGGAGATATCAATATTTTTGCACACAAGCATGGCCAATCATTTACATTCATTTGCCTCAAATTTTTCCCATCAACAAAATTCCGTAAAATTGATGTAGGGAAAGACGGGGTAAGAACGCCCGGCGGGTAAGAGGGACCACAGCCAGCTCTATTTGAAATCCTCAAGATTTTTCCCAATACTCAATACAGAAAAGATTAAAAACAAGTTTTCATCATTCTGAAACACCTTATAGCCCCAACACAATAAATAAAAGCAAACTTCTCGTTCGGTGAGGCTTTCACGATCTAATTTTGAAAGCAACAAATATAAGGCTTTTTGATGAACAAACGATGTTTTCTGACGTTTGTTGGTACCTGTTTCCTGTCAGATGTGACCATTCAGTGCGTGCCTAATGTCTAAATTTGCATAGATTTCAAAATTCAATTAGCTCTAGCATTCTTGTCGAGAATTGGCCACTTCCCCGGGGGCACCGGAACATTTCCGGGATGCCCAATGTGGCCGTGGAACGTCGGTATAGTTGCATTGGTCCAATTACATCATTTGAAAGAAAAAAAAACATGATGTTCATCGTGTGTATACTTATTACAGAACAGTAAAGCCACAGAGAACAGACGTTCAAGCTCGGTCAGAAACTTGTGTAAAGTTAAGTGGAAACGTCGCCGTTACGTAGCGCTAGCATCTCCTGATTTCTGCTATAAATTTTGCACTTTCGGTCAATTTGGCGCTAGTATCGATAAATTTTCTGTTGAAAATTGTCACCTGGCGCTACCAACACTTAGTGTCTAGTGTAAGTTTTGCAACACCAGTGCCATCATGTTTTTAGAGAACTTTTGTTCGAGCCTCAATGTCTGTTCTCTGTGGTTAGTAGATGCTCCTGGTTTGGTGCATTTGGTCGGCTAGTTGTTATGGTGGAGTCCGTTATAGAGGTTGGTCCTGGTTCTATTCAGTGGGTCGGTTATGGTTGGTTCTTGTCAGTGAGTTAGGTCAGATGTTCTTATACATGTTGGGTGCTCGCAGGACTTATAGTCATTGGAACCTGTTTCGGCCATATCTGTGGAACCAGTTGACCGATTCCAAAGATATTCACTTATGATCTATGTGACCATAATACCAACAATCAATACGAAACTAACGATTTAAAATTGGCTCACTACTTGACTAGCCTATTGGTCCCAAGCAAACGATTAACGTACCCCATTCTAGTCGTAATTCTAGTACTACGCAATGTTTGTTTTGATTCGCTATGAAAGTTTGACAGATAAAATGAGGGGTTATTGGTTTTTCCTATGTTTCGAGGGGTGCATCGATTAGCTTGGGACCGAAGAGAGTACCAGAGCTGAGCCAAAAAGTTGAGCAACTCAACTTTTTGGCTCAGCTCTAGTACTATCTTCGGTCCCAAGCTAATCGATGCACCCCTCGAAACATTGTAAAATCCTCGAACCCCGCATTTTGTCTGTCAAACTTTCATAGCAAATCAATACAAACATAGTGTAGTACTAGAATTTCAACTAGAATGGGGTACGTTAATCGATTTGCTTGGGACCAATAGGCTAGTCAAGTAGTGATCCAATTTTAAATCGTTAGTTTCCACCGGTTGCTAATACTGATCATGAGTGCAACAAAAATAAAAATTATATCATCGTTTGTTCGTGCAGGCGACTACTACCATAGAGATAACTCTAAGACTAGAAGGTCCCGAAATAACGTGCTCAACTTTTTGGCTCAGCTCTGGTACTCTCTTCGGTGAGCCAATTTAAAATCGTGCAGATCTCAAAAATCGGCTACGTGGTTGTGGTGGTGGTTGTGGCAATGGTCCGCGATGAAAAGAGGACGAGTCCCGTACTTGCTTGTTGCAGAGTCAATGTTATAATAAGAGTCCCACACAGATAAAAGTTCTTAATTTTAATTGTGATGTAAGCATTCATTCACGTAAACTTGTACTTCATTTCACGCAACCGAGCAACTTGTAAACAATGTTGTTTACAAAGATGGGCTTTTGCATACAATATTTGCTATATTGCATGAAATGTCTCAGAACGTTACATGATATATTACGTAAACTTATATGATATGTGACGCTCCATTTATGTGCATCATATTGAACAGAAATTTACACTACTTTTTCGAACTGTGCACCAAGAGTGAAGCCAGAAGTACCAATCGAACTGTCAAGCGGGGTACCAAACAAGCAAAGTAAATAAATATTACTGTTCCCACAGCCAGTGAACTTCAAGTATTGCATTCATTACTGTCAATATTTTAGTATAAGCGGGCCAGTGGTGTTTGAAATATTTGCAAACTTCTATTTACTTGAATTAAATTGATACGTGCAAGTATGTTTTAGAAATTTGCATGTACATTTTATTTGGCAAATTATATATTGACACATTCAAACCATTGCCATTTGGAATTTGAGTTATGACAGATATAAAGTCGGGTGGGGCAAGAGTGCCACCTTAACAATTGTACGTTCTATATATGCCAAATAGTGAATATTTATAAGAGTTTCTACACCGTATTGCAACTTCATATTATTGCCTTCATACATCAGCAATGTAATGCAAATTAAATCTCGTCAAAAGTTGTTAACGATTTTTTCAAAATGTCATGTCTAAATGTCTCAAATCTTGAAACTGCAATGGGGCAAGAAAGCCAACCCCCTATGGGACAAAAAGGCCATGCGTCTTAAATTTAATTAAATCGATTAATGCTTGCTTATAAATATAGCCTATTGATTATTAATCATGCTGTTATTGTTAACCCAATTTAACTATCGAATTTTACAATATTATTCAATACATAACAAATGAACTATGTTTACCAATGAAATCAAATGAAAACTATTGTTGTTGATATTTTATGTAGCTGGTTTAGTCAAATTTGATCAAAACAAGCTTACCGAAGACTTACATAGCCGGCGCCGGTGGTGTGGTGGTAAGTGTGACTGCTTTCTCACCCAAATGGGTCTGGGTTCAATCCCAGCCGAGGTCGGTGGGTTTTTTCTGAGGCATAAAAATCTCTGGTCAGGAAAGTAAAGCCGTTGGTCCCGGCCCATGTGTGTGTTTGAATGGGTGCGATATCCTACGCAGGTGTGGAAGCTGCCTTCCTGCATATTCGATTGTTGTCAATGGATGGCCGTCAGTGATTGGCACTAGATTGCGGAACAGAGACCGACGTTAAATAAAGGAAAGAAGAAGAAGAAGACTTACAAGGGCAATGAAGCGATTCTTGCCCCGTGTGAGGTTCATTTTTAAGAAAATTATTTTTGACTAATTATAGGGAATATTTATATAGTCTTTGTTATTGGTGTTTCAATTATTCATTATTAGTGATGCCTCAATGCAAGAATTGTAGAAAACAATATTTTATGGTGTCTAATTATTATAATTAATTTCGATTTTTGACACATCAGCAGAAAATGATTTTTTGCAGATTTTGTAATACTTCATTTTAGACAGAACTTTCTATAATGCTGCATAGGAACACCATTCATAGTTTAACGGGTGAATTAGCAATGAAAACATGTTTATTATCAAAATTATAGGGGGTGGTACTCATGCCCCATATGGAACTCTTGCCCCACCCGATGCGGAGAGCCGGTTTAGGGGAAGCGTAACCCATTATTATTTATTAAATAGTTCAGGTAGACTTGAAATGACAGATTCATAGTGAGAGAATATACCATGTGGGGCCCGTTCACTGATCACTTTTTAGACCAAAATCAGATTCACATAGTTCGTAAATCTATTTTTCATAAATATACTCTGCAACATTTACACTAGAACAATTTAGTGTAAAGGTTATTGTCAGTGTAAAAAAAAAACATCCTTATCAATGCTGTTAGAATTGATTTAGAGAATTAACAATGCCTGTAAACCAAGCGTTCTATTTAGACCTCATTTCGTAATGAAAATAGAGATTTTTTAAATTTTTTTCTGGCCATTTAACGTATTATATGGTTTGTAAGGTATTGAGGTTAAACGCTGGTTTTGAACTCATTTTGCAATATGGTTTTAAATATGAGCAGTAAATGGACATCACACGGTAGTTTGAGCGGTGAAGTGCGACCTTACACTACTTTCAAATCTTGTCTGGGAATCAAATAACTTATTTAACATAATTCAGTTAGTCGAAAGATCGTCCTTATTATTATGTAATGGCCAATTTAGAGCATCTTGTTCCAAATAGCAGTTTTTCAGTGAATAAAAAACATTAAAACATTTTGCTTTAAAGAATAATTGATTCAATTCTATTGATGTAAAACTAGTAATACATATGAAGTGCTGTTATTCAACACAGATCAAACCAATTTTTTATGATTTAGAAAATTTAAAATAGGAGTAGCTTCAACTATGCATGGATATAAGCTAATGCACCAGAACCTGGACGGACACTGGAGCCTACCCAGGACCCGGATGCGACCATCCATGTGAGTCTAGAGTATTGCACAAGATGACAAGTGCAACGGGAAGGACGGTAGGCGGGGGTTGGTCTCTAGATACGTCAACTTAGCGGAATGCACGGGATATGCACTGAACAATTACAATTACAATTTATACGATTATCCATACTTACATCAACATGCCATTTGTTTTCCGTGTACACGTATTTAGTACACATATCTTACCTTAATCCTTGTCAGCCCTACCAACGATTGCCCAAAATAAATGGGAAAATAGATTAGAGTCCAAGAAAAAAAAAATATGTGATACACACTCCAAACCAGTCCGGTAGCCTGCTGTTATAATGATGATCCTATAATGTTTTGTATTCCAGTCTCACTTTAGGAAAGGCCAAAATAATTTCTCATTTGGCATGATTGTCAAATGCAAAAAATGTGCCAGCCAACTGTTGGACACGGAAGACCGCTACATCCTGTCAGCCCACAGCGCATCCGCCTCCACTGCTGCTACCAGTGGCGAAGATGAAGCAGCATTCTGCCCAACGAAGGTGGAGAATGCGGAAGTATTCATTCACGAGGATCACCTCCCCGACTGGATGCAAGCCGAGATCGAACAATCGCAGTGGACAAAAGGAAAACTAAAGTGTTTCAAATGCGGGCTCAAAGTGGGTTCGTTCGATTTCGTATCCGGGACCAGATGCAAATGCGAGCTCAACAGCGTGCTTCCTTCGGTGCATTTCATTCGGAGTAAAGTGGATTTGCGAAAGTGATTGTGTTTTTCGTCAATAAATACTTTATTTCAAACTCTTAGGCATAAAAGATACAAAATATTTTTTTTGTTTGTTGGTTGCATTATAACTAATCTTAAAATTTACTACAAATATGTACGCGTTTGCAGCTTTGAGACGAAAATTTGAAACATGTATAAGTGTACGTGTGTAAAGATTCAGCTTCTGTTAAAAACTCTTACTCATCTAATATCACATTTCATTTTGTTCGATCATAACGCAATGATTTTCTGTTTTCGTTAGTTTGATGAGAAAATGATTGTTCGGTTCCTTTCCCTATACGCATGCGGGCGTGCGCGGTGTTTTACTCCGTTACAATGCCAGGTATTTTAGTGCGAATTTAAATTAATGGATATCATAAATTAATAAATGTTTTTAACTCTAATAGAACTCTTCTGTAAGCAGTGGCTGGTTTTGTTATATTTACAAATCTTACTGGTGGGAATTCAACTTAAATAAATTTAACTTAATGCTAAACGTTTCGACTAGCTTTGGTGCTTAAAAGAAGTACGTTTGGTGAAATGAAATCTAGATGACTAGAGGAACCTAAAAATGACTATTTTAGGACTAGAATGAGATCGATGGAAAGCTGACTAGAGCTTGACTTAGTGCTAGGACTAGAATCGAATGTATTGACCAGACTGTGGATGACTAGAGGTATAACCCTGACTTTGGCTTACATTTTTATTTCTTGATTTGCAAGAACTCTTTGGACCCCTCCGACTAGATTAAAATTTTATTTGTCATTTAACGACTAGACTCTTGACTAGAGGTGATGTTCGTTTTTGGTGCTGACTAGAACCTATACTTAAAAACCCTTCCTTGTGTACAAACCTACGATTTTACTGAAGCTTTAGAAAGTTTCTCGATTGTTCGCGTTCGTCTAAAAGTTAATAATATGGCACAATTTTCCACTCGATTGCAAAAGCTAACCCCGAACCTGCGCCCTGTGTGCTTTTGTCACTTCCAAAGCATACCGAAGAGAAACTGAAAATAGCACTGAGAACGAGAAACTAAACTGAATTGTGTACAAGCGCAAAAAATCAACACATCTCACTAATATCTTGTCTTTCGTGTTGACTTTACAAAAGTATAATAGGTATCTATTGTCTGTACAACAATTCAAGTCATTTAGGTTTGGATGATTCTTAACTAAGATTTTTTTTTAATTTTATCTACCAATAAGTGAAAAAAAGTTCCACAGATGGTTAGATTTTTTAATAAATAATGTATGGTCAATTATATTAATATATTAAGCTCTTACCTTAAAATCTAATTGAATGACTAGATGGATACTCATCTTTTGGTGATTTGGAAATTTTTGGAAAACTTCAAATCGAATGTACAGAAGTATGGAGAGGACGGAAGATTCTGGATCAGAAGAAATAGATGTTGCAGTACAGTACCGGCCAATAGTATTAACAATAGTTAATTTGCTCAAAAAGTTCATAGTTCAATCTACTCAAAAATATATATTTTCATATTTGTGTGTCAGGAGAATCTACATGCTAACTTGACAGTGCGCATTAAATAATTAAACTTTACTCATTTGAAAGAAAAGCGGCTCAACTCATATAACATGTACATTTAATGTTACCCATACACGGCCAATCAGAACGACTCAGCGACTGAATTCAATTGACTCAGAGCATTTTCTTTCCATACGAAATTTAATCATATTTGGGAAAACCTGCAGGAACTCATAGCTAACTTCAAGTGTTCCCAAATATGAGTAAATTTCGTATGGAAAGAAAATGCTCTGAGTCAATTGAATTCAGTCGTTCTGATTGGCCTTGTAAATGAGGAACAATCACAATCATTAAGGTGATTCCTTGTAGAGTCCACAAATGGCCGCCACGTAAGCTATACATGCACTTCCACTTCGAATTTTCAATTACACTAATCTCGGAAATCGGTGCCCCATTTCACCTGAAATTGCTACTTCATGTATGAAATTTGAATGTTGCACGTGACGTAGAAGCTGATATTTGTGCACTTCAAGTTTTGAAGTGGTTCTGAGAATAAGGATGTCACAGCTATTCACCATAATCTTACAAATTTTACAAGTTTAAATATTAAAACGACTTTTCTTTGAAATAGATTACATTTTACTTATTAATAGGTAATGTAATGCCTTGCACTTTTAATTGTCACGTATAACATTTTCGGTGATAGATATCAAGGAAAATCTTAATAACTTTTAATAAATAAGACTCAAATAATTGCCTTGATGAGTTTCTTATAGCAAAAAACTGACGTTCAGTAGCAAAAATACAATGTCCTAGCCATTCGTCATAATGATTTACGGGTAAGCTAGGTGATTGACCTTCCGTGAAATTTTCTTGTTTGCTACAACTTTGTACCAGACCACTTTTTGATTGAATGTCGAGAAAATTAGTTATAAATTGATTTGCCTATAATTTTGAAACTGTTCATAAACTACGTAGACCGATTTTTAGAGGTTTTAGACTCCCCCTCCCCCTGCGTAGACAATCGTCCATACAATTTTTTGGACCGAGACATTTCTCAACCCTCCCCCCCCTAAATAGTCTACGTAGTTTATGAACAGCCCCTTTCTGATATGATCAATCAACTGCTTTCAGGGCAACACTGTTTCTTGCAGTATGACATAGTAGCCCGAATTTTATAACCCTATTCTTCGCGCCAAGTACACCAATGTTGCCTGCTGAGCAGTTGATGGAGCATGTCAGAAGAATATTATTTGCTTATATAAATAAATAAGTAATTATCCTGATGTTCAATTAAAAAGTGGTCTTCAGCAAAGTTGTAACAGAGAAAACTTTCTGTAAGAGCTGATAGCAAGCTTATCCGTAAATTTTCTAGGACTTTGAGAGCAAAAAAGTTTACTTTTCCCATAGTAAATCCCATATAAACTTCAAAGAGTCAGTGCAACATGAGATCGTAGCAAAATGAGCTCAAATTTTCGGAGAATACTTTTAGCACAGACAAACAGACATAACACATAAAATATTTCTCATTGTAAAACATCGTCGCTAAAACATTACCGCCATCTGTTGAGTACCCAGTGTTCACTCGGCTGTCGACAAAAGCAGGCCACTCTCGATGTGTGCTGCGCGATCGTCTGTTTTCTCGGCAGCAACCATTGTGTGGTCCTCCTCATTGTTCTTCATCAGCAGTTCTTTCGGTCGATGCGTCGTCGACTTTGGAAAGCAACCGTTTCGTGATGAGTGTGTGAGTGCTGACCACGTTTTGCGTCCATTGTTGCAATGGACGCGCTCTGACCCTCGTTGGCGTACAACAATTTGCCATACAATGAAACCACTGGAAGCGGCTCCAGTTCTGATGGAGGAGGCTTTTTGGATAGCGGAAGATAAAGTGTTTATTGTGTTGTACCTTTTGACTATAGTTTTAAGATGTATTGTATAGTGACCAAGAATCCTCGGCTCTGTAAAGTTAATTCGGTTGAGCCTTATTAAATAAATTAATAAACAAATCTGTTGAGTACACTGTGGTTGGTAGTACGTTGAACTGATGGCGGTAGTGTGTAAACGTCAAACTCAAGGGAATTAGCTATGCGCACCACAGGTAGCAGAACTACCAACTGAGATACTTTCAAATTGACCGTTAAATGCTTGTTCGATGAACAACTCATGAGTGTTATGTCTGTTTGTCTGTGGTTTAAGTGCAACTAACTATGGGGTGGCTCCAAGTATAAGTGCAGGAACGATCGTATGTACACGGCTTACTGTACATATACTTGGAGCCATATATACTTCCCATAAACGCATAACAGTCCCATTTGGAAAAAAACAGAATGTCGAGAAAATGGCAGTTTTTTTTTGCTTTCATGGTATGGCTGGGCTGTTACAAACAAGTTTTGATATTTTTTACGATATTTTCAAAACAAAACAATTCACTTTATGTGCATATATTAAAAGTTAATTACCGTAAAACGGGGTAACATTGATAGTTTTTTTTAAGTATATTATAAATATTTTTTACATCAATTACTGCTTCTCAAATTTTGTTTTATTTTTAAAAGAGTACTGAGGATCCTATAGTTAATGGGTTAGTAATATGTTTAATGAAAATTATTGCATATGCACTATTTGTTAATATTGTGACCGAACATCAGTATTTTGATTTGGGGTTACTTTGATAATGCTCGATGAATGTTGAAAAACATGCGGGAAACTCAAACAATTTCGTTCAAGAAATATGAAAAACATACATTTCATAAGTGATGGTTTGAGTGCTTTTTCAACAGGCAAAAAGCAAGAAAATTGTTTTTCAATATGTTTGACAAACATGTAACACAAACTATATAACAACTCTATGCGATATCAAGGGAAATGCCTTATAGCCCGTACAGACTATGGCTTATATCATGTAATATAGGCTGTCCTGCAATGAGCACTCATATATCTAGTTTTCACTGGAAATCCTATGTATAAGTGCTCATTGCAATACAGCCTATATTACATGATATAAGCCATAGTCTGTCCAAGGTATTAAGCTACAAAATGGAACCAATGTTTCTAATTCGGAAAAAAGCAGAGAGTGAATTAAATCATTATATTCTACTATCAAAGTTACCCACATTATCAAAGATACCCCGTTTTACGGTAGTTAATAATCGATTTCAGAAGATAGCTCATTTTTGCGAAAAAGTTACATGGGACTGTTATGCATTTATGGGCAGTATAGTAGGTTGCACTAATTCTTGGGCATTCTAGCAGAGAAGTATATGTTATCTACATTGATTGACAAAATAAATAAATAAATAAATAAATAAATAAATAAATAAATAAATATATAAATAAATATATCATAGTTGGAGATACGAAGTTTCAAATAACAGATGAAAGTATAGAGTTGATAGTTCCGTTAGAGTACGGCAGTGCGAAAATTGTATATAGAGAGTAGAAAGCGAGCAAGGACAACTTTGAGGAAGGTACGAATCGGGTTGATCATCTCTCTTTACCAAACTCCCCAATTGGAGAGAGATGGCGAGAGGTAGAGGATTTCAATTGTTTTCGTAAAAATGTGTTTACGAGTGCTCAAATATTGAGTAAAATGTACTCAAAACTGAATAATCGTAGCTGAAACATGGTGGAAACTAATTAATCGTTGCTCAAAAAAGAGTATTATTTAAGTTCAGTTCTGACTATGTGTAACTAACCGCATTGAAAAAAATCCACTTAATTTGAAACTGTGGGTTTAAATAGTATTAACGAAATTGTAAGATAATGAACTGAAAAAAATCACTAAGGCTTTGTTCTAATTGGTGAATTTACAATTAAATTTGAAACATGTTTTATTTTTTTTAAATAACCCTTCAGCGTAAATAACAGCGAACTTATTACTGACACACGAATTTTCGAGCATTTATTTTTTCCGAAGAACCAATTTCAAGTCAAAATTCACCAATAACCTCTAAAATTATAGTCACATACCTAGTCAAACAATCATCTTTGTTCAACCAATAAATTGTTAAATTTGTCCCCCGTTTTTGAGCGATGCAAAAAACTTAGATGCTTTGGCCCGGTACTATCCTTCAAACAAAACGAAAATTTTACAGAGGAACTAAATGTTGAAGAATGTCTTAGGTATTAAAACAATTTCGAAACAATGGGAAAATCAAAGCAAACAGAATCCTCCATCGGTGACCTAGAATCTAGTTGAGAACGAGCGAGAGCTTTGCTCTGCTGTCTTATCCCTATAAAGCTATGTACAGTCTTTTCTTAGTAGCAAGTCTTCATTTGGTGTGATGCTGATTTGTGGTTCGCAAAATGTACATTAACTAAATCATAATACCCTATTCTATATTTCTAAGAAAGCTAATCCCGGAGTAGAACACCGTATACCGTCCCCGCGCTACTGTAATGATGATGATGATAGTACTTAAGTAACTACTGTTAGGCAACTTACGAGTATAAAGGTTCCTTCCTAGACGACCAGCGCGGTCGTGTGTCGGATTACCGATGGTCCATTGCGTAGATGAGCCAGTGCTGCAGCGGCAATGTTCTCCTCCTCGGTGAAGCGGTCACAGTACGCCGAGCGAATCTCCTCCATTTCGTCCTGATAGTCCTCGTTGATAACCAAAGCACGCTCCTCGTAGTCGTCCTCGTCGTCGTCGTCGTCCTCTTCCTCCATTTCACTTGGTTCGGTGGTTGACGATTGATGAGAGACGCCGGAGTTTATGTGATAGTTATGATGGACCAATTCTGTTTGAAGCGGAGGCTCGCTGGCCACTACGGTGAACACAGTATGTGGAGCTTCGGTCATGTGATTAACGTAGACCGTGTTGCCACTGTCGGCAGAATGATTGGACTCTTCACAGCTACTATTACGATAGCTAGCGGATGTAATGATTGTTGCGTTTGTTTCGGTTTCGGCACTTGATTGATTATGTTTGGGTTTATTTTTAGCTTTTTGATGCGTCAGTTGATGCTTCTTCAGATAGGCTGGACGTTTGAAGGTTTTATTACACTGCTCACAGCGGTACTTGCATTCCGATTCATCGTTCTTGTCACCATCGCCCTTTTTGGCAACTTGATCCCGTGGTTTGTGCCAACGACGATGAGATGCCAAATTTGCCGGGCAGTTGAATCGTTTACTACACTCCGGGCAACGGTACTCCAGAAGAACTATGCAAGCACATCGATGCTGGGCAAGTCCGAATGCATCTTCAAACTCCAATCGACACAGTTTACAATTGTAGGCACCGATTACATTAGGAATGGTAGCTAGCTCTGCTCGCACCTCGTCCGATATTTCCACCAAGTTAAACTGAGGATCAATATCACCGGACTCACGGGGCATGTCACTGTTGATGACTTCCTCCAGTGATATGATTATCGTACCGGACACCGGTGATGTGGTTTCTTCGTCAAATTTTAACTTTCTGGCTGCTTTCGTTCGACGCTCTTTCGAAATTGGAACCACCGGAGGAGGGTTCTTTGAACTCCTGGGAGCCGCGCTGATTTTAACGGGTTTCACTGGTGTGGCTTCCCTCTTTTCCGGCACTATGTGTTCAACCTTAATCTGTTTGGTCAGATTTCCATCACGATTTTCGTCGTTCTCTTCGCGATAGCGTTTCTTCAGCGGCGACGGTGTCAGCGGAGGTGTAATAGCACCCCCAAAGCACTGCTTCACCGTCAAATCCAGCGGTGAGTCGGTGGCAAGCTTGGTAAGGGCGGCGACGACGGGAACATATTGCGCCTTGAAGCTTGGCGGCAGATCGGCCACCGTCGTCAGGAGACCCATTGGTGGGCGTACTTGGATCTGCGATGAAGCCATACTAGCATGTCACACACACGTACACCGTTTCAAACACGTGCTTATCTTAATTTTCCTTATCCACTATAAATTAACCGTCCACTCTGTCCACATTAAATACTCCTTTACGTTAACTGGTTTCGAGTAAAAATACTTAAACTTTGCGCAATAAACTATATGTACAAAGGAATAAAAATAGTGCGTACAACGAATCACTTGTTCACCGGACCAAAGCCTGGCAGCGAATGACACGACGTCGGCTCATATCCTTGCACTTTATATAGGGAACGATCTTCCCCTAGCCGAAGGCAACCAACACAACCATCACAAGGATACGTAACGAGCGTAGCGGTAAAATCCGAGCATGCGCCGCGGGAATCCCTGGTTCCTTGTATGGGTGACGCCAGGTTTCCCCTTCGTTGCAAACCCACCCAATGCACAAAACATACTAGACATGGAACAAGCGGCACGCGACCCGATCCCGCAATACAATACAGTCTGCCATGGCTTACTACGAGAGCACGTGCGGATGTACGATCCACCTCACCTTTCTCCCGCAGCACAACACAACCTCGTATGCGTATAAATATGTCCATTGGTCGTCGTCACCGACGCCGGATCAAAACATAAACTCGTATTTCGCCCCCTTTTCTTTCGTTCTCGTCTATCCTGGTTTTTTGGGGTGATTCATGCCTAAACATATTTTTTATGATGCATTTCTTGCCGTTCCTGTTCCTTCATCATGCACCGAAACTTACACTATAGGTACACCGAATTGTTAATTATGATTAGTTTTCGCTCAACTGATCCGCTGAAGCAAGCTTCAACAGCGGCGTGAAAATAATGGAAATTTATGCGCTGCTTCAAGCATTTCAGCAAAGTGGTGTCGCCTGCCTGCCTATGGAATCAATGTTGCACCTGGAAGTTTTTGTTTCTTCTTCCCGTTTTTTCCCGGTTCCGAAAACGTTGCGGAATGTGTGGTGGTAAGCACCTAGGTATCTGTTCTCTTTGCTCTCAGTCCTCGTCCCAGGTATGGAGGTACCTTTCAGCGTGAGGCTTCATTATTTAATTGATCATAATACAGGGTACGCCGAGAGGGGTGTGTTTCCGAACGGGGGCCGATGGCAAGCTGCTGCGGGAATTGCAATAGTCAATCGGGATGGACTGGAACCGGTGCGACGGTGGTCACAAGCTGCTCCGACACATTTCTCCACAGCTATGCGTGGCTTTGAAGGTGTAGCACATCTGGTGGTTTGGGTTTTGTTTGTGATTTAGGAGGTCGTTGAACTGAAGTGTACTTTATTCGGGCCGTGAAGCCCATATCTGCTGTTCAGCTCTGTAGATAGGCTGTTGACTGATCGCTGAACTATGAGTAACGTTTTGATTTCAATTCCAAGCAAAGAATTAATTTTGAATACGTCTCAGACATGTCCTTAGAAAGCAATGTCAAAAGAACATGCAATCTAGGCATGAAACTTATTTGGAGGGATCTTCAAAACTAAATGTTTAAAACGATTATCTGCACAAAGAAATAAACATTTTGAAAACCAAGTTGCCAACTTAGGCTGTGTTCCATTTGGTAAATTTTCACTTAAATTTGACAGATGGAAAATTAAATTAATTAAACCTGCTTTTCCAGCAGACTTATTTCTGACAGCCAAGCAATCAATTTTGACAGACACTTTCTCGAAAACTGGGCGATCAACAACAGAGGGATTTTTGACCATCTTAATTTATTTTCGAAGTGTCAAATTGAAGTGAAAATTTTCCAAATGGAACACAATCTTAGGCTGTGTTCCATTTGGGGAATGTTCACTTAAATTTGACATATGGAAAATTTTCAAATAGCCATGCTATTCCACCAGACTTATTTCTGACAGACAAGGAATCGATTTGGACAAACATCTTTTCGAGAATCGGTCGAGTTTAAGTGAAAATTCATCAAATGGAACTACACGGTAACCAGCGTATACACACAAATGAGTATAAAAATACACATTTTTTATATTCATATGCAGCTGTCAAAAAATGTGTAAATTTGGAGATCTTAAAATGTGTAAAAAAATACACATTTTAAGAATGTAGTTCCAGTCAAAAAAATGTGTATTTATATACTCATTAATGGGTAAAAAAATACTTTAAACTTTGCTGTATCCTGCCTTGTTTACGCACGTAATTTGTATATATTTCAGTGAAGTACAACAGGAAAATGAAGGAACTACGGTCCAAGCTGGACAGTGCAACGATGGACATACTAGAGGGTAGGTGGTTTATACTATTTTCATAGTTAAGTTTTAGGAAAAAAAAAATCATAATCAATGTCCGGTGTCTCGCTTGCTTGCTTCATACTGATTTGTGTTTTTTCCTTGATTTGTTTTCCGTGCAGAGCACCAATGCTACTGACGCCAGGAAGGCAGCTCCCATACCTGGATCCTACCTATCGATCCATCAACTCATGAACCGGGGACCAATGGATTTACTTCCCTTCCGAAAGAAGGCGTGATTCTCGGCGTGATCAGAGATGTTATGCCTCAGAACATCCCAGTGGGCCTGCTGGGGTAAGAGGTAATCACGCTTATCACTATACCACCGGCGCCGCTACTGATTTTTTTGATGGCATTCCTTTTTTTATTAAAATATTATTGTATTCGAGCAATCTTTATTTACTCTTTGACACAAATAAGAAAATTCCGAAGTTAATAAAAAACCATGCGCACCCATTATATTTAAGTTCTAGAAATGATTACTTTTTACACATTTTGCTGTAAAAACCGTTCTTGAAAAATGTGTAAAAAATACACTTCTATTGACGTTTGCTGGGTTTACACATAAATGTGTAAACGCAGTTTACACATTTTATGAGTAGGCCCCTTTTTTCTCGAAATGTGTGAAATTTTACACATTAATGTGTTTACGCTGGTTACCGTGTAGGGTTGTGAGTACCGAAGCCTTTTAGCGAGAACCTGTATTTCGGCACTAGGAGGTTCAGTCCCGGTAATTGGGTTCTATATATAATCCAAAATCTCATCAATTTTGGTGCACTGAAACTATTTTAAATAACTGCGATTACATTAGCAAAAATCCCCATCTTAGCGCCCCTCGAAGGGACATTGTATGAGCTGTCAATTTGATAATTTAGTGTCAATCAGTGAAGTTATTATTTTGCTTTAAATCTTGATTTAAAAACCGAGATGAAAGTCTATGGGTTCGAAAAAATATCGTTGTGCTCAGAAAACGAAGCTCTTTCAGATGATGATGATGTGTGTTTTTTTTTTTTTTTTTTTGGCAAGGAGGAAACCTTCAAAAAGGCCATCGTGCCACCGCTTGACGACTGGGCGCACAGTCGCGGTGACACGGTGTGTGGGATTCTTACCGCACTAAAACCTCCTTAGACGCCTTGCCCTTTTCCCCCGGAACCACTTGTCGTATTACTTCGGAGGGGGCCGTGCATTACGCACCTCACTTTACCTCAGCTAATTGGCGCTTCCAGTTCGCTGATCGTCTCTCCAATTTGTGAGCCATTTATCTCCCAGCGTCACGTTCTACTCGGTTATCCCTGGTGGTGGATACAGCCTACTCTGACGGAGAGTTCTCCCGGCTTCGGCTTTCAGTTCGCACTTGTGTGAGCACATTACTACTTTCTAGTTGGTCTTCCCGCCATTTTCGCTGCAGCGCTGACATGATCTGCGTTACTGCTCTGCTGACGGCGTTAAAGGTGCCCTCCTCTCGACACATTTCTTCGACGACATTCTCCGTGCTAAGGGCGAGCATATCCTCTCGCACATCATCAAATCTAGGACATTCGAAAACCACGTGCTCTGGTGATTCTTCCACATTCCCACACTCCGGACAGAAGGGTGACGTTGTGTGTCCGAACCGATGCAGGTACTTCCTGAAGCAGCCATGACCAGACAGGAACTGCGTCAAGTGGAAGTTGGCTTCTCCATGCTTCCTGTTCACCCAGGTCGAAAGAGTCGGTATTAGCCTGTGTGTCCATCTACCGTTCTCTGCTGCATCCCACTCCTGCTGCCACTTAGCCATCGACTCCGTTCTCACCATTTTTCGTACTCCTCTGGTTTCTCTCGTCATATAGCACTCGTAGTCCTCCGCCAAGGTGATGCCGATTGGGATCATACCGGCGATAACGCATACTGCCTCCATCGAAATGGTTCTGTACGCACTCACGACTCGCATGGCCATGAGCCGGAACGTACTGCTCAATTTCCTTTGGTTCTGCTTCGTTTTCAGCGCTTCAATCCAGGCTGGACCTCCGTACCTTAGTATTGATGAGGAAACACTAGCCAGAAGACGTCTCTTGCTGCTGCTTGGACCAGAATTGTTCGGCATGATTCTGGCTATTGCGTTGATGACCTTCGTCGCCTTCTCGCAAGCATATTCGATGTGGCTATTAAAGTTTAGCCGGTCGTCGATCATCACTCCCAGATACTTAAGCATGCGCTTCGAAGCAATGGTGTGCTCTCCAACGGTAATTTCTGCCCGCTGCACTGCTTTGCAGTTACTGACCAACATCACTTCTGTTTTGTGGTGGGCTATCTGCAGCTTCGCTCCTTGCATCCAGTTACCAATCGTATCTATCGCCTCAGCCGCCAACATTTCCACTTCTTCCAGCGTCTCACCGGTTACCGTCAAGACGACATCGTCCGCAAAGCCAACGATCTCAACTCCTTTGGGCAGCTTGAGCGTCAGCACGCCATTGTACATTCCGTTCCACAGCGTGGGACCTAGAATGGAGCCTTGGGGAACCCCCGCCGTGATTCTAAGCGATTTCTGCCCCGTGTCTGTCACGTAGACAAGGACCCGGTTCTGGAAATAACTACTTAGAATCCTGCAGAGGTAGCCTGGAACCCTCATTCTATGGAGCGCCTTGGCGATGGCCTCCCAGCTGGCGCTATTGAATGCATTCTTGACATCGATCGTAATCACGGCGCAGTATCGATTTCCTCTCCGCTTCTGTTTGGAAGCTTTCTCGGCTCTGTCAATCACTGTCCGAATTGCATCCACCGTCGATCTCCCTTTCCGGAATCCAAACTGTCTCTCCGACAATCCGTGTTCACTCTCCGTGCATTTCGTCAGCCTGTTGAGGATGATCCTCTCTAAGAGCTTTCCTACAGTATCCAGCAAGCATATTGGCCTATACGATGCAGGATCCCCCGGCGGTTTTCCGGGCTTCGGCAACAGCACAAGCTTTTGTACCTTCCACCTATCAGGGAACT